CTCACACTATTCACACACACATCACACACTGTTCACACTATTCACACACACACTGCTCACACTATTCACACACACATCACACACACTGCTCACACTATTCACACACACACTGCTCACACTATTCACACACATCACACACACTGCTCACACTATAGATACACACGTCACACACACTGCTCACACTATTCACACACACACAGCTCACACACACTGCTCACACACATCACACACAATGCAAACCTGCACACGTGCACACACACAACACTCCCTTCCTGTGGAAATCCACTGAGGGTCGATGTTCATACACTGTTTACATCTTCTGTACAAGCGGGGAGGCGAGGCCAATCACAAAGCAACCAACATGCGAGAAGACAGACATAAAAGCACAGAACTGAAATCAAGGGAAGTTATGTGAAAAGTGTACAATGTGCTAGAAAGTACTCATATCGTGTACAGTGTAAGTCACCACAATATCGAAAATATATTGCTGCTCTGGAATCAGTCCAAAAAAAAGTAACCATGTGCATTCCAAGGATTATGGGACATTCCCACACCGAGAGGCTGCAGGAACTCTATCTCTTCAGTCTTGAACAGAGACGTCTAGGAGAAGATCTGACACAAGGAATCACAAACCTCAAAGGCCCTGACACGATCAGCCCGGTGTACAGTGTAACATGAGCCACACAGAAAAGGAACCACTTCTTCACACAAGGAGTGGTGAGAGTGTGGCAGTAATGATAAAGCCATGTGGTCAAGTCGACACTCTGCTCGTCTTCTACTCTCCAATCAACAGCCACTATCGCTCTAGCAGGCTGGAGGCAGGAGGGCCTCCTCTCGTCTGTGGCCGTACGGATGTGCTTTATGGCTACTTGTGGATGCCAGCTGGCTGAAAGGGCGAGGAGAGCAAAACGCTTCTGTAAAGAACACTTCATCTCTTTTGGAGAACATCAGGATCTCTTTTGAATCTGTTTCCTCGGTCATTGAAATTTGTAGGTAAAATCTGACAGTTTTATTTTGAAGGTCTGAAATAACAAGGTAGAATAATTGGATACTTAGTCGTTCTGCTCTTTACATAATTAAGCCCCCCCCACCCCCACCTACACCTCACAATCCTTTACTAACTTATGAGGTTTCTATGGAAACAAATCGGCGCAATTCCGAGTTTTTCTTTGAGTGTTTTTCCAATGCTGATAACCTGGCACCTCGTTAACATCCATGCAGATTGCTCCCCACACCCCCTCCCTCTCCCTCCCTCCTAATCTGCCATATTAAAGAACATAAAGAGAGCGACACCAAACGGCACGCCCCCCCACCCCCCTGCAATTATCCTTTCACTCCCGTCCTTCTCCTGCCCCCTCCGCACTCGGACAGAGTTTGAGTGCAATTCAAGGCCTTTCACAAGCCTGTGCAGCTTTCAATGCGCAGCTAGAGGAGCAGCCTTAGCGCACCAGAATCGACTATCCGTGGGACCCCCGGAATCCCACGCCCCTGCTGCAGGCTCCCTGCTCCACCAGCACGCCCTCCAGACTCGTGCACAGCCACAGCTGAACGCAGCGGGTTCAGGGAGGAAGGAGAGACACAGCAATGACGTCTCCCACGAGAGGACGGCACAGCCGGTCCCGAGTCATGGAACAACGCGTCACCTCCTGGGACAGACCAGAACCTCTGATGGGGCACGTGTCCGCAGTGGGGAACCAGGATAGAGAGAGCAAGGGCATGGCCGACAGATGAACCACAGGCTGGGCAGCAGGAACTTAGGACACTCACCGCACGGTGAACTGAAGAGACTTGATTCAAGTTTCTGAAACTCCTAAAGAGGAGTAAAGACTCTGGAGAGAGACAGTGATACCGTGTCAGGATGAGAAACTAAAAGGAATTCCTTCCCAGCTGTCACTCTCCTGAAACTGACCATCCTGTCTCTAAATTCCTCTGATTTCTGTCTCTAAAATCAGATCTACCGTAGCTGCTTAAGAAAGAGTAACTGAGGAAACTGCATTCAAATTGCCACATTGTAAACTGAGCAAACAGAAGATCGCATCTAGGAAAAGGACCAACATAAATATGTGCACCTACACTTTGCAACATATTGAGAAATTGCTTACTTTTCTTATTATAGTTGAAGCTAAAATGAGAAAGCAAATCCATACAGCAGGTGTTTAAATTGGTTCTATGCAAAAGAACTTCCTGAGCAGTCGGATGTCCGCTGTCTGGCACAATATCCCCCCTCCGCCCGCTGCTGTCCTCAGAGGGGCTGCTGGGAATTGTGGAGCACGGGCTGGGCCTCAGGAAAAGCAGACGAGTGTCTCTGCATTAGTGAGGTGCTCCATCTCTCCCCCAGCCTCCTCCCTCCTGCTCAGCAGACAGCCTCTCTCCAACCACTTGAAGGTCATACAATTGATTTTCTTCTGTCTTTTCATTTTTCAAGACTGGCTTTGAAACGTGCGAGGCAGACAAAATCCGTTGTGCCCCTCCTCCCTCCCGCCTGAGATTGAGAGGGTTGAGAGAGGGAGGGAGATACAGGGGCCGAGAGGTGCTGGCCTGCTCGGTGCAGGAGGCTGCTCCATGCAGGAGGCTGGTGAGGTACACAGCTGCTCCTGGGACACCTGCTTGGTCTTTACCTCGTCCCAGGAGAAGAGTGATCCTCAGGCGAGTGGACACCCAGGGCTGCTTCCTCACAACCTGCACTTTTCGAAGTGTTCCCTTTCCAACACCTGAAACACCTAGAAATCCTGCTGGATTTACTGCAGCTGGTCTGTAGTGAGAATTCTCACAATTCTTCAGCAGCAGGCAAACCTGAACAGGTGAGTCTGCGCTGAGCTCATGTTCCTGCTGTCAAGAATGAAACTGAGCCACAGTGAGGGGCTCCACGTCAGAATATATAATCAAAGAAAAGTAGCTGTGTGGTTACCCAATATGATATGTCAGCAAACAATACATGTCCCATGACCAAACCCTGTTCCCAGAAGCCTCAGGAGGAAAATGTACCAGTTCTGCCTTTCCTGTGTCACTGAGCAGTCAGAACACAACACCATGTGCACCACGAGTGAGCAGAGAGGAGAAAATGAGCTGTCAGATTTCTCCTTCACACCCCTGGCATCCACTGTGGGTGACGCTGCCCTCCTACAGTTATAGTCCCTGTGCGAGTGTGTGCTCACGGGGCAACAGGGGGCCTGCAGTCTGTCTACAGCAGCCCCCCACTCTCCAGCTCTGCACACAGGTGACGGGAGCACAGGTGCAGCCATTGTCACACCAGCCAATTGTGGTCGAGGTTTTCAAAGCACTAATAACTATAATTACAAGCTCTTGGAATTCTGTTGTTCTTATTATGCAGTTAATTTCTATAATTAGTGGTCATGTGAGTCTTTTGTCCTCCCTAACAATGCTTCCAACAGCTCTCTCAACTGTCCAGTGTGGCAGGAAACCTGTGTACCAGCATCCAAGGTGTCGTGGCGAGTGAAGAGCTCTGAGGGTCAAAGACCCAACACCCTGATCCTTATCTGCTGAACGCTCCAACTCTGACCTGCTGAACGCCCCAATCTGCTGAACACTCCTACTCTGACCTGAAGCCTGATACAGGCAGCCCCCCCCTTCCCCTGCCCCAGACAGCCTACCCTTGTTGTGTGGCCCTCTCTCCTGTAGGGGGCTCCACGGCGGGTCTCCCTGGCTGGAGAAGTCCCTCATGCGCAGGTAGCTGATGGTGAGGCGGATGACGGAGGCTTTGTCCAGCTGGCTGGTGATGGCACCGGGCAGGGGCAGCATCTTCGCCAGCTCGAAAAACTCAAAGTTCTCCTTCCCTCGCCGCGAGCGGGCCGCGTTCCGCGATTTCTCCTTCCGCAGGTTCTGCAGGCTGACATGCGGGAGAGAGAGAGACCTGCATGATCAGCAACACCCTTCTCTTTCACCGCCAGGACTGTAAGAACGAGAAGAAGCCATCCTGCACACCCGGCAGAATCTGGAACTCTGCTTCCCCCCAGCCTCCAGGAGCTCTCTCCTCTGGGCTGCAGAGAGATCAGCCCTGCCTCTCCTCAGCTTCTCCAGGAGTCCCTTTCCTGTCCCTCAGCAATGCTCCTTCAACAGCCACAAGACTTTCACCTGCATTCTTCCATCACGAGCTTCGGCACAGGCCAGCAACGTGTGAGAGGAGACAAGACGCATTGAGTGCTGAAGGCCTGCCTGCGGCCATCTCTGGACACACGGGACACGCCTGGGTGAGGAAAGGCTGTCTCTCGTCAGCAGTGTGCTCTCCACACGAGTGCTTATCAAGTAACGATCAAGTTAAAAGAGCGATTGAAGCAGGAAACAATGTGCAAGAGAAGACGCATGTTCGTTCAACAAGACATTCACACAAAGGCCTGGGGAAAGCCAGCTCTTCACCCTCTGCCAGAAGTGCTCTCTGGGTTAATAGATGCCTCTTGCCCTTATTCCAAGACTGTCGCTAACCTTTACTTTCCTCTGGTCACAGCCCATCGCTCAGCAGGGCCAGTTAAGGGTCGCTCTCGCAGGTGCAGTGAACACATCCTGTGGAGGCCTGACTGAGCCCTGCTGGATCACTCCCCCCGGACAGGCAGTCGCCTGAAGCAGAAGAGGAACCCACCTCGACATGAGGCCAAGAGAAAGAAGATTGGAGAAGGAGCAGACTGAGGCGTCACTGACCATTATCAATTCAAGGACAATCTCAGACAGAAACAGCTCCCACCCTTTTGTATTTCTGGGGCATTTTGGGTGGGTTGCCTAGATCGCATTGAGCTCAGAGGCAGGAGCAGAGCCCAGAGTGCTCAGGAGCCAGATCAGTGCTCGTTTGCTCTGGGCTGGGACAGGGCGCCCCCTTGCAGTGGCAGCACAGCAATCCTGTCAGCCTGTCAGCCTGCCTGTCCTCAGTGGGGCTGGGAGGCAGAATCATGTTGTCACTGTGCTGTCACCACAGCTCTGTCGTCTGTCTCTGCTGAACAAAGGGGGTAGAATTCACAGCGTCAGGCCTCAGAAACAAGGCCATCGCCAAGCTCTTAAAAGAGAACAAAAAAGAGTGTTCTGAAATATAGACCTTTCCTGGCCACCTGCACAGCAGGCCCTGCGCCAAGCCTGGAACCTCTCTCCTGCTGCAGTGCGACTGGGCCTCTGCCCCCTGTCTCGCGTCCCACCTGCCTCACAGAGCTCACAGGAACCCGTTCTGCCTTGATGTTTCTAAACCTGTCTGCTGGCGGATGAGTTAAGGGCTTATTTTTGTATAAGTGATGGGGAATGTTTTCTGTGGTTATTAAATTTAGTGAAACAAGAGGAATTAAATTTGTGTCCACCTGTCATTTCTGAATTCTTCTGTGTGTCGGCTGCTCAATTGCGTGGTAACTGCTCCGCTTCTGCAGCGGCTGTACAGTCCAATGTGTTGTATTTGAATAATTGTTGTGCTGCTGTGCAACTTTAATGCCACATATCTGTTCAATTCTGAAATTCAGTTTTGTATGCTATTTACCCTAAAGACATATGATTAATTAACTCAATCAAGTGAACCATGGTAGAAAGCAGAAAAGACTCGATTCTCCTCCATTTGGCGCTATTTTCATTTCTAATTTATCCAAGTGACAGAACAGACATCCATCATTTGAGGCACAGCTTAGATTATCCTGCAGTAATTAAAAGTGTCTCCTACCAGTGTACTTAAAGTGTGATGTCTAACCATTCTCTTCAAGGCTGGAAATCCTTCGAACTCTTCTAGCGCTTCTTTCTTTCACCAAGGAAAACAGGCCGTGGCGCCGGTTCAGCAGGATCGCTGCTGGCAGACAGCCTGGGACAGGGACCCCTGCACTGCGCGCAGTGGGACTCCTGACATGGCCATTACACATGGCTAGAACCCGCTCTCCTGCTCCCATGTGAATTACATACCCAAGACACTTTACAACAGAATGAGGCTGCCGAACCTCCAGAGCTCAGCAGACCATTGACGGGTGAGCTGGTGATTCGAAAAGCTTGGTTTTGATAGATCAGGGCCTATCAATATTTCACCTTTCTGCTCGCCACACTAAATTTCGAATAACTTCCATCTCATCCATTCCCAAAAAAACTTCTCTCAGGGGGGCATTTTGAGCAACAGCGCTCGTACCTGTGATGGTACAGTGGTGACACAACCTCTGCCCACACTGGGGGCCTTTTCAAAGCCCCTCCTGTGAGACAATTCTCTCGTTTTAACAGGGTCTCGAATTCCAAGAACGACACCAGGTGGGTTGAATACTGAGGACACCCGCTCACAGCCGGAGGAAGAGAGAAGGACCGGACGAGCCGCTCGCTGCAGGAGGTGAGGTGGGGTGTCAGCGTGCACTCAGCCGTGGCCCCTGCACACACGTGCGTGTGGATCAGCGCTGCCCGCCGGGCTCGGGCCCCTGGGGGGGATGTATCTCACATATCCCAGAAGCCAGCCAGCCTTCCGCCCCCCCTCCCGGGTCTCACGAGAGGGGTGAGAACTCAACCACAGACTCCCACCTGCCTGTTTCCTCCAATAACCCAGAGCCCCGTTTGTCAAACTGAGCTACAAGTGCCCCCAGTGTAAGAGCAGAGTGCTGCTCACAGCTTGTATTCATTCTGCTCTCCTTCTGTACGTGTCTCTGGAGCTGGAGCTCAGAGATCCTGATTTTCTGAAACTCACTGTAAACCATGCTGAGGGTGGCAATCTACAATCCAGAAGCACCACTGTGAAGAAAAACAGAAACATTTCAATTTCTGTTATTTACTCACAGCTTGGGAGACAGCTCTAGTCTCCAACTGCAAAAAACTTCAAAGGTCAAGGTTCAGAGTCATGACTCCCATTAGTCTTCATCTCAAGTATTGCTTGGAATACTGGAGCATCCATCTGGAAGCAGAACCAAATCGTGGGATTCATCCCAGCGGATTAGAACGGGCAGTAATCTCTACCAACACAAGCGAGGGACAAAAACCAAAAAGTGCCAGAACCCTACCACATTAAGAAACCACACCCCAAATCATTGAATTGTCTGCCTTTCCCAAAATACTGCTGTTCTCAATGCACAGCTATCAGCATGCTCATGTAGCATTGGCAACCGGCTCTGCATAATACATTAATCCCAGCTGTCAGAGCCTGAGGTGTTTGTGCGTGCTGAGTTTTGAGACTGGAGGTGTGCCACACATACTGAATGTGATCTCATGACAATGAGCCCAAGCTCTGAACAATAGTCAAGCATGGAGCTCTGGAACAGATCTGTTCTTCTGTACCTGATTCTCAAGGCTTCCCAGTGAGCCCAGCTCTTCCTGGCCACAACAGGGGTCACAGCTACAGTGTTCTCCTGAGCAAGACAGGGGTCTTTTTACACACGTCCTCCTTCAAACTACCACAGCTTGTTTTATTTCCTCCAGCACATCAATTCAACCTCAGACAAGTCAAATAAACCTTTTAATACTTAATTGGTGCTATTAAATAACATTAACACAGATAAAACACTATCTAAAACACTAAATGTGATCCAAAGTAGACTAGTCGATAATTAACAAAACTAGTATTTACATAACAAGGCCTAAGTTACGTGCCCCATCTTTCCATTTTACACCAAGCAGTTTAAAAAATAGATCATAAATTGATCTATTTTTTTAGATCAATTTATGACACCTGAAGGAGGCTCCACGGCCGATACGTTGTGTTCTCTTTCTTCTTTTTTCCAGCATGGAATAAACCTCTTACTTGATCATAAATTGAAACCACTATCCTGATATTCCTATTGGTTTACAAGCTCAGGAGCTCAGGATGTGATGTTTCACACACCAGGTTACACACACTACTGTTCAAGATGACTCTGTGAACAGCGATCCTCATTCCTCCCTCCTGCCCGCTGGACGGTCTGGACAGATCTCCCACACAGAGCAAAGGAAGTGCCTCTTTCACACAACCTGAGCTTCAGCACCCTCAGCAAAGAAACTCTGTCTTGTCTTGGTGAGACATATCGGTTGACATAATGATTGCCACCTAAATAAATTAGACAATTTGACATCTTCACCAAAAAACATGCTACACAAGAAAGCCTCACACCACTCCAGCCCCGTCAGGGTCTGAATTCCCTGTTATGTGGAGATGCAATGGAGCAGAAAAGCAATTAAATAAAACCCTTTCTGAAGAAGGAGGCTATGAGTCTGGGTTTGAATGTGCTCAGGGCAGGTAACCCTCTGATATCCTTGGGGATGGAGTTCCAGTTTTCAGGCATAGCAAGAGAAGACCCTGTCACCCACAGAGTGTAGATGAGTTGGGGGGACAAACAGGAGACCAGAGTCGAACGAATGAAGGCTGCAAGGCGGGGAGTAAACAGAAAAGTCAGATAGGTACTGAGGTGCCAAGCCAAGTAGACCCTTACAGATGAGCATGAGGATTGTTATAGAGCTCAGTGGGCTTTTAATATAGTTCATGAAAGACATCTTACATATAATGAAGAAACTAATGAGTTTCAATCTTATCTGACTACTTAGGTTGGAACACTAAGCAAAAGATGCCAAGTCCTGAGGGAGAGAGGTAACAGGCTATTGGGCAGACTGACTATAGATTTGTCAGCAGCTGCATAGACACACACAGTGTGGGCGTGTCATCAGTCAGGAGCTGTAGAGTCACAGACAGTGTGGGCGTGTCATCAGTCGGGAGCT